ATTAATTATTTGCAGATGAAGTGTGCTTGGCCAGTTGAACGTGAGGCTGAGGTACGAGGCATCTTTTTTAAGAAATGCGCTGATAGGTTGACTGATATGCTTTGAGAAGCTCGAGATAAGAAAGAGATGCCAGGTTGGATTAGTGAGGATATATGGACTAAACTAACTGAGTATTGGACCTCCGTGGAATTTAAAAAGAAAAGTGAATTGGCAAAGGCAGCCCGTTTGTCTGACAAAGATGGCTCCTTGCACACGGGAGGTTCAATAAGTATGGGGGCTCATCGAAGAAGATTAGTATGTGTTTATTATACTAGTCTAGTCCTGTGTTTATATAATTAAGTTACTTATAAGGTAATTACTATAAGTAAATCTATGAAACAAACACTAATTGCTAGTTGGCCATCTAAAATGAAACAAGAACTTCATTACATGCATAACATATGAAATGCAAACACAATTTTTTTTAATGATAGCATGATAAGGATAAGAAAGAAGACAACCAAGAAACTGGTAATCATGACGTCTTAAAACCTAATTCAACTTAGGTAAGAAAAAAAGAACTTTTATAAGTACGTTGTTAGCATCCCCTCCCTTATACATCCGCTGTCTACTGGGTGAACTCATACCAATACTTTCTTCCCTCTAATTACTGTTAAATAGTTTTTCATAATCAATGTAGACAAAGCATGAAATAAAGTCAAACCCTAAGTTTTAAATAATCAGTAAAACAAAGAAATTGCATCTTCAACTAATTGGTAAGTTGTTAAAATTTCAGTATAATTTTGAAGTTTCATAGACATAGCACTTTAATTTGAGAACAGTTAACTTATCTTTTTGAAGTTTCATGGACATAGCACTTTAATTTTACTTTTTTCATGTGTTATTTAACAGGAAAAGTCTTTAAAAAGACCAGCTACTCAAGATGAGGTATTTGAGTATACACATATGAAGAAGCTAAAGAATGGAACAAAGACAACTTGGATCGAGCCACGAGCCGATACAACCTATGTAAGATTTCAAGTTACTTTTTAATATTTTTTATTAATTAAATTTGTTCATATAATAGTTGTAACTTTTTTGCAAAATACTTTCAAATAATCCTTGAAGGAGTTCATTCAAAGCCAACCAACTGATGATCAAGGAAAGCCAATTCAACCATCCAGGAGAATTTTATGGACTTGTGGATTAAGGCGGCTGGTGGCGTACATAAGGGAAGAGTTTATGGCCTTGGATCCGAGTTTAGTTCTAGTCGTCGGTCTTTTGGATCTGGTGGTTCTTCTTCCTCAAGGTCCTCAATTAATCAGGATGAGTTTGAGCTATTGAATAGAAGAATAGCAGAGATCATTGAGTTGTATGCACAGGAAAGGACTGTGCGAGAAGAGGAGGCAAAGCGAAGGGAGGAAGAAGATAGGCGGAGGGAGGAAGAAATGAGGCAAAATGATGCTGCATTTGCACGTGTTACTGGTGACGTTGAAAGCCTCAAGACCCAACTAAACTCCCTCTTAGCATCTGGTGCATTTTCTCTACCACGTTCTCCATCGCGCTCTAACAAGACTAAGGAGTAGTTTTTTTTATTAATCTGATTTTGGGTGGGACTATGATGTTGGATATTATATATCAATTGGATAAGATTGAATGCTGAATTTCTTATTTGAATGTTTAGTTGCATTATTGGTTTCTAGTATTTTCAGTTTTGGTTGGTTGTTAATTAATGAAATGGATCGGAAGATGCTGATTTTTATGTGTGAATGTTTAATTGTATTTAGGTTGTTGGTGGTTATATTTTTTGTTTGGCAGGTGGTGCATTATAAAAAGCAGCATTGTGCACAAAAATAATTTTCAGATTTTCCACGGAATTCCCACTAAATCCATGGGAAGGTTCGTCACTTAGTTACAAAACTTGCATATTTCCCACTGATATCGGTGAAAAAGTTCATACTTATTTTAGGAATTTGCATTTATCCCACTGATATCGGTAGGAAAGTTCATACTATTATTTTTAGAATTTACATATTTCATACGGATATCGGTGGGAAAGTTCATACTTTATTTTTCAGAACTTGCATATTTCCCATAGTTATCAGTGGGAAAGTTCATACTTTATTTCCAGATCCCCATGTATTTTTTTCATCACTTCCCTGGCTAATGTATTAAAATTAATAAAAATTACTAATAATATTTTCCACTGATTGTTGGTGGGAAACTTCATTATTTTTCCTATTAAATCTTCTCTGGAAAAACCGTGGGAAATTTCTCACCTCTTCCCTGGGAAGATATTTCCGACCAAGCGATTTTTGCACCAGTTTCCCACTGATTTAGCCATGGGAAAACCATATATTTCTAGTAGTGGATCTACAAAACGGGTCTCGTATTGAGTAATAGTTATACTGCCTTACTGGAGATGCTCAAATTGCCTACGATAATCCTCCATCAATGTGATAGGGAGGAACTTCTCTAGAAATAGCCGTGAGAATTGCTCCCAAGTCGGTGTAGGCGATCCAGCTGGTCTGGTCAATATAAAATCTCTCCATCACCTCTTGGCAGAACCCGTCATCTGAAATACAACAAAATCAAACCCATTGGTCTCAACTATACCCATGTCCGCAATACCTTATGGCAGCAGTCAAGATAATCATGTGGGTCCTCAGAAGATCTACCACTGAAGTGAACTGGAAAGAACTTAGTAAACTTATCCAGTCTCAATAAGGCCTCAGAAGACATGGCGGGCCTATCACCGGCCTGCGCCGCAACAGCTGGCTGAACTACCCTAACTGGCGGGACTACTGGAGCCTGATTCTGGGGAGCCATCTGCTCCGGAGCAGGAGTAGTGGGAGTTTGTGCTCTTC